TAGAATATTTGTTTGGAGTATAAATATAATGAATCTGGTTGGATTCAAATGTGTTTTTTGGTGTTTGGATTAGAAATTTAATTAATTATAGCATATACTTTTGAAATATATATTGAACTATTTACATAAAAAAATTAAATGTTTAATAAATTATAAAACAGTAAACATTAATTGAGCTATGCAGCAATCCGGCAGGGTTAGGTAATCATAAAACAAATGTGCGTATTGCGAGTACACTTCGACTAATTTACATAATAATATAATATACTGTAAACGGAATTTGGAGGGGAAATGTCTTATAAGGAATCTTGTATTAAATTTTCAAATCTTAGATTTAAAATGAAAACTTTTAACTCAAAATAATTTGCGACTTTTTGTGAATTTTACGTATTTTGTCAAAATTTGAACGAAAAAAAAAATTGGAACCATGTATTTTTAACATTTTTCTACAGCCATTGTAACAATATATATACCTATCAGGAGTTTTGTATTACATTTTCAAGCTATAATTTTACCCAACGAAAAAAATTTATTGACAAAAAGAAAAAAAACTATAGAAATTGGAAACTGAAAATGTCCCTAAACAGCTCAAAGCCTCAAACAAGTCGAAATATTTTTAAAACTGTATGGTGTACAGAAAACACTAATACAAGCATTCATTGAAAATGTCATGTATCTACGGTCATTTTTTTTAGAGTTACACCTGCAAAACTTCAAGGAATTTTAAATGTTGACCTCCTTGTTGCACCAATTAGATTCACTTTCCTATCAGAAAATATGCTGTTAAGGAAATCTATAAGCATTTTTACAGTTCTAAAAGATGATGACTGACACAAATGAAAATAATAAAATTTAAAAAACACACATCATTGTAAAATCAATCGTGAATGATCACTCCGCTCAGAATCTAAAAGTTGGCTAAAAATAATACAGTTGCATAATATTGTGTAATTTTGGCCACGTTATGATTGTTGGTCCACTGACTTTAAAGTTTTTGTACCTGCTAAACGATAAACTAATATATTAATGAGTATAATGAAAAAAAATGTGTTATTCTCCTGTTTTAAGGGGGCTGCAGCAGGTTTTGTCAAAAGTCAAAACTAATGTAGATTTGACCAATCTAAACATTAATTTTGTTATTATAATGTTTTTCAATATATTTAAATTCCGTATCATAAAATAAACCTTAAGACGGCTGGAGGGGGCTCCAGTCAATGAAAAAAAAGGTGCTCTACTGTACGGTAGGAGTGGGTCACTGTATAATGGATGGTATTAAATTTGAATTCAATGATATAATATCATTGTTTAAGAAAAACGATTCTGAGCGGAGACGGTATTATGTCAGTCTAGGTATAAGGCATATTATATACTTATCTATGGTATAAAAAAAATTAGGTACTTATAATAAATTCCAAATTAATCATATCACAATATCCATTAGGTATACTTGTAACACGTTATACATCAACAACAAAGCCTGATACTATCATATATTTATAATAGTGTACTTTAGAAGTTTCAAGTACCCACGAAGAATATTATACAATCACAACAAAATAACTAAAATAGTTATTCTAGGTTTTTTATTAATATGTAATTTCGTCCAAATTTGAAATTAAAATGACTATAAAAATAAACTGTGTCTATGTATTTTTTAGATTTTTTTGTTAACAGAATTAGCTACTTACGTGGAATCTTGTTTTAAATTTTCAATCCTTAGATATAAAAGTTGAACATTTTATACATTTTTAACTACAAAATAATAATTCAATTTAAAATTTGATAAATTTTTTAAAAATTCGATCTTTAAATACTTATAAAAAAAAATTGTGCCTATGTATTTTAAATATTTTTCAACTGCTTTTTAACAATATATCAGGAGCCTTATATTATATTTTTACACTTTTTGGCCCAACAAATAAAACTTTATTGATATTTATAGAAAAAAAAATTTAAAAAATTTAATACTGTAAATGTCCGTTAACAGCTCAAAAAGAGTCAAAATATTTTTAAAAATTGTATGGTGTATAGGAAATTCTAATATAAACATTCAGTGCAATTTTCATCTTTTGTTATTCGTTTTTGAATTACAACAAAATAAGGAAATCGCTACATGAGAAATCGAGTGAATATCCAATGTTGTAAAAATTTGAATTTCAAACGCTCATAAAAATTTAATTTGACTTTCTTATAGACATTTTTTTTTTTGATAAAGGTAGATAATCTTATAAGGAATCTTGTATTACATTTTAAAACCTTAGATTTAAAAAGAATAATTTTTACGAATTCTTAACTCAAAATAATTTGCTGATTTTCGTGATTTTTCCATATTTTGTCAATTTTTGAACTTTAAATGCTTATAAAAAAAAACTGTGACTAAGGATTTTTAATGTTTTTCATCTGCCTTTGAAACAATATACTAAGAGCCTATGAATTTTCAAGGTTTTTTAACCAACAAATAAAATTTCATTGATATTTTTAGAAAAAAAAAACTAAAACAAAATGGAAAATGTCCCTAAACAGTTCAAAATAAATTAAAATATTTTAAAATGTTATCGTGTATAGAAAATGCAAATATAAACAACCAGTGAAAATTTCATAAGTTACACCAAAAACCAAATTCAATTTTGTGAATAATCGATTTCGCGTGAAAATTCTCGTTTTTCCTTAATTTTTCTTTTGTTTTTCTTGGCGCTTTTGAAAATTACTGATAATTTTGATCTCCCCAATGCACTAACGATATTCATTTTCCAATCGAACAAGATACTGAAGTTGAAAATCGAAGCATTATTTCGACTACTTATCGTGAACACAGACACAAAAAAAAAAAAAAAACACATCATTGTAAAATCAATACATATTCATCGTTCCACTCTGAATATAAAAGTGACTTTTAGACCAATATGCTAGAAAAAACTGGAAGAATTTGGTTTGACAGATTTTAATTTTGAAAATGGATGATGATTGATCAACAAGTTTACTAGGGAATGATCCAGGCAATTTTGAATATTCCAATTATTGTTAGTGTCATAATGAATAATATAAATACAAAAATATCATATTTTTTCGATAATTTTCTTCTTGATATCACAGCAGAAAAAAAAATATTCAAAATAGCCTCGATCATTCCCTAGTAAACTATTTGATCAATCATAATCCGTTTTCAAAATTAAAATCGGTCAAACTAAATTCTTCCAGTTTTGTCTTGTTTATTGGTCTAAAAGTCAATATTTTTTCATCTGCTACAGCTCCCTTAATATAAATTATTATTTAATTGAAATATTAACTTACTGAAAGTCTTACTGAGTAAAATAAACAAACAAAAAATATGGTGACCACCTATGTATTTTTGGAATGTCGGAATAATGGTACGGTCCATAAAATGTATAGCAAAAGAAATAAAAAAACGCTGGAATACTGGTACTTTTCAAAATTTTATTTTCAGGAGTCCTATAACATATTTACAATGTTTATATAGTTTTAATAAATCCTAAAGATTTTTTCCTTATACTTTTTTTAACAAAAATTATTCCCTCTATTTTGTTGTTAACTGTGTGGTTATATGGAATTTCATTTGAATACTTTATAAACTGGAATTTAAGTTAGTTCCGTAAATGCATAAATAAAAATGTATTTAATAAAATTAGTTTTATCAAATTAATTGTTACTTTTCAGTTTTCCCGGGCATTTAAAATTTGAGTTTTGTGTGCGTTTCCGCCATTACAATTTTTATTCTTCCTCAAAACCATATAAGAATTTCTTATGTATTATTAACTCACTACCTCTTTGACTTTAAAATGATCCATTACATGACACGTAATAGGTAAAATGTTTGTTAGTGAAAAATAGTGACTACTCAATCCACTATTGCGAATGAATGTGAAATAATGTGAACTAGTGAGAACTTACTATTGGTGTATAGTTCATGACATTTATTGATTATCTATCGTATCTTATCGTATACTTATCGAACAGTAATATTATTTAATATTGGGAGGTATTTAATCGATTATTTTCACTCAAAAAGTCACTCGTGGTTTCCCATCATTGTCTTTAAAATTAAATTAAAAATAATCGTTCATATTTTCTTCTTTTTTTTATCACTATACTTATATTCCGCGAGTATATAAAGACCGTACCCGTTTTCCGTATTTTTGTCTTTTGATGTTTTTAAATGGTATGAACCACTTATGAGGAACGAGGACCCTTGTATTAAATTGTTGAACATATATTATTAAAATTGATAATTTTATGATTTTACAACTAGGTTATACAATAATTCGTCTTTTTAATGAAATGAACATAGACAACTATAGGTAATATTAAAAATTACATAGTTTTAATATTTTAAAATTACATTTTATAATTTATTAAAATACCCATGAAGAGCTTCGTCTGATTAATACTAAATAAATATTAAAATATGTTTTTCAGTTTTACACTTTTAAGATAAATTACAATTATTTACTATACGACAAATAAATAAATGCGTTGCACCAAAAATATCTAAAACAACATAATATTCACTATATTCATTAAATAAATAAATGATATGGCATAAAACAAATGTTACAAAATTTATTATTTTATTTTTTGCTCGAATGAACAATAAATATCTATTATTATAGACTGTAAAATTTATAAATTTGTTTATTTTTTCCTTGTAAATGTCAGAATAATAGTAAATTATTATAAAAATGGAAAATTTAGAAATCTTTGTGTACTTACTTGCTTTAATTGAACGGTATAAAACGGTGCACGCAATAACCAGTAATTATATTCATTACTAAATAGTATATGGTTTTTTTTATTACTTATCTATGTACTAAATTAATTTTCTACTAATTTTTACTTGAATTAAAACAGTTTAAGTATCTATTTCTATTAATAAAGATATATAAGTGAAATGTACCTCATAAATAATTCCGGTTTATTTTTTTTAATTTTATTTACGTTGGCGTATGTGAATTGCGATGAAAAGGGACCATATAATTCTCACGATGACAATCAACACAAAAAATGCAAGATTGATTGGGTTAAGGCTACTGATGGAAATGGCCATATCGCTACTTGTCGTCTTAAGTGTCAAACGAAATGCAGATATAATCAAAAAACGGACCAATGGCGTTGTAGAAAATCTAGTACAGGTTTATCCAAATCATGTGAATGTTGTAGAGGTGAGTTTCATAAATTACTATTGTTTATTAATTTTTAAAAACAAATATATATATATATGTTTATTTTCAATATTTATAGATAATGTTCCTGGCGTTCCTATTCCTCCTTATTGAGAAAATGCAACTGCTTACCTGCTACATATGGCTGAATACCGAATCTGTAATATAAACCAAAAATAATATGCACAGTTCCAAAAATGGGAATATTCAACTCAATCGATCGTCATATACTCATATTTTGTAATAATATTATATAATTGGTATTTGTTTAAATTAAATAAACACGAATAATAATACTCAATATATTTCATGCATTAAATGAGTTTAAATGAATAATGTTGATCGAGCCAGATCAATATTATATAAATATAATAGATATTATATTATAATATATGAAGGGTTAAGGGGCAAAACGATCATAGTCAAAATAAAGAAAAAATCAATTAATTATAGTGCCTTTTGGTTAGTTTCATAACGAATCGACACGTGAATCGAGTTATGGAAAAAAGATCACGGTCAATGATATAATACAGGTTTAAATATTTCCATAACGAAAAAAAAAGTCCAGAGTCCCACTTTAAAACTGCAATACTGAACATTTTAGGAATATTGACTATTATCGTTTTTCCCCGTAACCCTTCATATTGATGTATGATAAGGTATTCCATATACCGACCGTTTTTAAAGAGTTGAGTATAGGCAATTTTTAGCTAATCTGTATAGTAAGTGTGTGCATGTGGGTGTGTAATAAATTATCATTAGTGTGAGTGACTTCCCTGTACAATAGATAAGCGTTGCGCACTCGCACTCGTATGCACATGTCACATTATGCCTAACAACAAATTTATTTCGCGGCGAAATGTTGTAAATCATAGACGATAATAATAATAATAATAACTCCGATAATAATTTTGAAAACAAATTTTGTTTTGTTGTTCAATCAACTTTTGATCCTTCGAGCCACATTTTAAATTTATTATTCTTAAAAAGAAAAATCTCACTTCAAATTTAGAAAAAAAAATTGTAATGGACATAAATATATTAATTTTTTTTTTTTATTATTTTGATTCGAAGGAATAAGGATTCAAAATAGACTTCATAATAAATTCAAATTCCTATGTTTTTTAAATTATTATAGGAGTAAAACTCAAGTGAGTACGTTAGAACGCGTATAGGTCTATTTTTCTCTGGCAGTCGAGATATGCGACCCGTTGGTGATATACGTTTCTGAGTGCATTGTATTATATGGTTTATTATTCATTGTATTAAAAATCTTTTTTATTAATTCAACTTAACATTGTTTGGATATCTTATTTATCACTTCCTCTCAACAAAATTAACATAATGACCAAAATGGTTTTGATTTTTTTTTTAGTAAATATTTCGTATTTTAAAAACATAAGATTAATGGTAGTTCACTATAATAAATAATAATGATAGTTAGACTTAAAAAACAATGAGTGCTAAATTAGAACTAGGGGGTGCTAAACCCAACTAATTAGCAATTTCACTTATATACTTTAATATATTATAATATATTATCAGGTTAGACCCTGCACCCAGCCATCGGCCATCGACACACTAGTAATTACAGAACTTAGGTACTCAGCGAACCTGTCTATACTTTCTACAGAGTGATATTTACAATAAGACAAAGACACACGAAACGACAAAACACATTGGTCGGTCGGTGTGTCGTAGGTGACCTTAAAGCTCAAAGTTTCGGCATCAGTTTAACTTTAACTATTAATCAACCATGACCGATTCATCAAATTCAACAAGTTATGAACGTGTGTACATTTGTTTCAGCATGACTAAAACATCAAAATGTGTTATCACTTTATCAGTCATTTTAAAACTGTTTCTACTTTCTGCCATACTAATTTCTAATGATCAGTATCGCGTCATGAAAAGCAACTGAAACTTGTGAAGTAGATTATTTTTGTATATTTATTATATTTTCTAAACCTGAGTTATAATTTTAACTTAAACTGCAACTTTACTATAATATTACGTCCCTAAATGTATATTGTTAAAAAAGGTTTATAAATAGCTTGGTCATCGTTTATGAAAATCAATAATATTTGTACGACTTTGATATGCCCTCATGGGCCGGGATCCACTTTCCTATGTGGTGCACTGCTGATATGTATACATAGACCACAGAGTCATGAGACTTTGCATTCATTAACTATAGCGTTGGACCAAAGGGGTAGGATAGGACTTGTCCCGCACTCCCACTTTATCTCTCCTCGGCTGGTATACCGAATTGGTTCCCGAGCCATCACCCTACGTGTCGAATTGGTTATCGTATAAAAGGGTATTTTATTAAGGTACCTAAGCGCCGTAAGCCAAACTGGTTCCCGTTTAACAAAGGTATTTTGAGAGAAATTGGTTCCTGTTTAATTAAGCAAATTTTTCTTCTCAATTTTCCCGACTTAGGAGTTAGGACTGTCAACTTTAAAGTAGGCTTGGTTAAAAATGTGATTTAATGTATGTTAAAAAAAAGATAAAATATATAAAATTTAAAATCGTGGATTTAGAAGTCAACCAGTCAACACTTAAGTTAGGTGTACAAAATCGTTAAGCATATTCTGTGCTAATATGAATTAACGATGATTGATAAAAAAATTGTCATTTAAGATTTAACCATTTATACGAAAAAAAAAGAAGACTGCGATTAAATAAGAGAGTGATGATCATCGAGCATGTTGCTTACGAAATTACGTGCGCACATCGCGGCATATGGGTTATGGAACCGATCTGATGGAAAATGTTATGTACCTATATTATTTTTATTTTATTCAAATAGAAAACGGATTTTAATACATTAAATAATAACAAAAATACAAGTAAATATCTAATGTGTTTTAAACTAGCATGCTAATATAATTGACATATTTATACACAAGGTGACCCATTTAAGTATGTCTTCTTTCCTTGTATTTTAATTTTTCTTTTAAATACTCATCACTGTCATAGTCACAAATTGGGGGAGGTTTAGGGACTAAGCCCCCTCTCCAAACACTTCTATAGCCCCCTTAAACATTTCCTAAGTTGTTTTTAATATTATTATAGCAGGGACTTAGCCACAACCCATAGCCTCCCAAAATCTCATTTGCACCAATGCTCGCCGATTAATATTATGAAATACGCAGCTGCGCATAACCAATTACGGTACATCCGTTGAGGCTCAACTGCTAAGTGGGTGGCCTGACCCTTAAATGGATATATATATCTATACATATATGTATACACACCCACCACACACTGTCACTGTCTGGTATTGCTCGGCTAATGTTGTAGGTACTCCAAAAAATATATTTATTTTTAAATTCAATTATTCGATAAAGTAATGCACGTATATTGCCTAACTGATACGCCGTGTAAAAGAAATATTCCGGTGTTTCCATAATACAAAAACATTTTCCAATATCATAATATAATAATAATATTGATCAATGATCACAGATTAATGCATTAAATACAAAGACATCTATTTTAGTTGTTGAAGCTTTAAACATAACACCATGTAGCAATAGCCAATATTATATGTAGCATGTATTATAAGTAAAACATTTGAACTATATAGCTAAAGCTGAATAGACATTTTGGCTAGCATTCCATAGTCCATATAGCCATAGATTAAATATAATAATAGTATATTTAATCTATGATATAGCTTACTGTGTTATTTAAAAATTTGGGCCGGGAACGAAACTTTTGAAACTTCAACAACCCCACCCCTTCATATTTGTGAGTAACCTAGGGATCACATAAGCTCTTTTAAGTTTTTACTAAAAAAATTATAATTTACAGAAGTATAGAATCATCTACGTGTATACATTGAGTTGATATCATAAATATAATATATTATATAGCATTCACTTCATAATACCGACCAGTTAAAATATAATACACATACATATCATCAAAAATTTACGGAAAAAAATGTTTTCCAAATATATTTAGGAGATAGAATTTTAGGTAAGTAGTAATACGCTACTTTTTAGCCAGAGTTACTAACAAAAAATTAGTTATAGAGGCAGCATAAATTTAGTTAATCGATTTTTAACATCTCTTGGAGATGATATTATTAAAATATTATAAACCTAACTTTATTATTTATATAATATTAACGATGGTTTATACTTTTATATGGGTATTTTAATTTTATGGTAAATATAACTAATAATAAAAGACCTGATGTATAATAAATGTCCTAACAAAACCTATAGTAAAATTCCATGAAAAATGTATTTATAACATAAATAACACAGAATGCCCTAACAGATTAAAAATAACATAATACAAATTCTTAAAGTGAATTAAAATATTTATTGATTTTAAATTAAAAATTATAATTTATAAGCATGTGTGATTTTGATTTAAATTTGAATTTCAAAATGGTGTTAATCCAGAAAATATTTAAAAGTGTAGTTGTAAGTATGTTTCTTAATAGGCAGGTAAAATTAAATTAAGTTTAACGATAATATTCTTTCTTTTTTTTATTTACTTTGAAGCCCGGTAGGCGGCAGCAATGGCCATTAGCTGTTTGTTTTTTTGTTTGTAGGGGAGGAATTTGTAGGTTGTTATGTTAAACACTTGTGTTTTCTGGTTTGCCAGATTTTTTAGTAGGCACCCGTAGGTATCTGTCATGCCGGGGGGGAGGTAATATGCATACCTATTAATTTTAAAAAATGAATTGAAAATATAAGACTATAATAAATTAAGAAAAAGAAAAAACTGGTAATTTTTCTCTCAATTGTAAAAAAAAAAAGGAATAAATGCCTTTATAAGTCACTTAATAGTCAATAAATCATAAAAGCGGGGAAGTGGATGTCACTCTGCTGTACAGTAGTTTACAAGTGGGTCACTGTAATGGATGGTGTTAAATTTGAATTCAATGATATAATATCATTGTATACGAAAAACGATTCTGAGCGGCAAGACCGAATTAAGGGGGGCAGGGGGACCAAGGCCCCCGGTTCTCGATAGTTGGAATCAATTTAGGGGCCTCTGATTTGTCCATTACTTTTTTCGTAATAGGCTATATAACACTGCATAAATCAGCTAAAAAAAACCTATGAGGTATATATATAGGTATGAAATCATCCTGGTTGGCAATCCAACTACTTCATCTCGCGGACAATATGCAACAGCTATGAACTAGGCATTGAGCGAAAATTTGATTGTATGCAAGCTTGATCTACCTGATAAACCAATGGAAACCAATCTATATATTATATAAAATCCAAATACCACTGACTCACTGATAGCTGTATCTCAAAAACTACTCAATGAACTTGAAATTTGGAATAGTGGTTTCTCTAATACTTTCACCTTGCAATAAGAGAGGATTTCTTGAAATTCGCATTCTAAAGAGGTGCTAAAACAGGGACCTTGAGGTTCACAATGGAAATAAAAAATAAAAAATTCCCATTGTAAATCTCAAATTCCGGTTCCGGGTCTAAAATTCCAAAAAACGTACGTGCCTTCCACCGGCCCTCAATACATATTTTACTAACTCAAATTATTTGTATAGTTTATCTACCTATAGAGGACAGAGTGGCCGGACAGATTATGGCGTCAGTTCTATAATGCGCATGGTCACCGGTTCAAATTCTGCCCACTGGCGGCATCGCTCTCTAGACAGACAACGGTTTAGACGGCAAGACCACTATCCCCCAATAGGGCATTGCAGAAGCCTACAATTGCCCAATTAGAAATTCTACCAAATAGGCATCCGAACTAGGCCTTCGCCTACTCCCTGACATAGCGCCATACGCAAAAAACCTATCAATTTCATTCCCAGATAGTTTTAAACTTCAAAATATCATGGTTTACAACTCATTGTTTATGTTTTATATTTATTTGTTTATTCATTGAAAATATATTTGGGTTTAGACCCAATTACATGAATTCAAAAATAGCATTAAACAATGAAAATAATTAATATTATTATTATGCAACAAAACATTTTATATGATCAATTTATATGAGTAGGTAGGTTAGCGGAAACATGATTTTTAAACGAGTTAAAAAAAATAGAACAAAACAGATCAATGTTATAGTTATTTACAATTCCATAATTCTTAACAGTGGTGTGTTATTACTTATTAGCATAATTAGTAGTTTGAGATTTTAAATAAAATAGGTTTGTTGATTGAGTGAGCCAAGGAAACTTTGAATGATAGACGGGTTACCAAGTTAGGACAGCTAATATATTGAAAAAATAGTTAAGGGAGAAATTAATAATAATTTACAAAAAATACATTGTTCATAGTCTCCAAAAATTTAAAAATAACTACCTAGGTACAAAAATATTTGTAAGAAAACAACAAGAAAAACAATTAGGTCCATTGTGAGGTATATTGTATTACATAATGGAAGAAAATATTTTTATTTTTTTTGTCATATTTGTTTTATTTGTACAATCTGTATAAAAATAATTACAATAAGCACAATGGACTATGGAGGGATAATACATTATAGCACTTCATGACGGGATATTGGACTAGTCAACTAGTCTATTAGTAGGTCACTGCACCAGCTACGCTTTAAACGTCGGCCAGGGTCGCCCGGGATTGTTTGAGAAGAGAGGTTTTTGATGAGAGGGTTTCGGTGATTTGAAAGTTTAAGGTGGAAACGTTTATATAGGGTTTTTGGAGACGTTTTTTTACTGTCGGAGAAGAAAATATGAAATATAAAATACGTAACATTTTGACATAGTCACATAGAGTTAATTAAAGTGAGATGATATGGAAAACAAACTTCTAAAAGGTAAATAAGTTTGATTTTTGTATAGATTCACTAACAGACGAATACAAAATTAGCGTGTGTCAGATGTGTGAATATTTAAAACGGTTACGAATGAAAATAATTTTGTTCATCATACTTATTTATTTCAATTACAAATGACAAATTTACATGGCACTGTGTAATTCAATTCTATTATACGGCATAACTTGTCCAAAAAAATATTGTAAAAGTAGAATACTCCCTACGATTAAAATACCCATCAGAAGAATTATTCAACTATACAAATATATTATATGTTGATTAATTAGACAAATTTTAGTTAAATTCATACAAAACCACTCACTCAATGTTATAGAAATAATAGAACAGGAAAATACATTAAACCGTCATATACATAAATTATTAACAAGTTTAAGAAACTCTCTCAATTACATGGGGATTGGGGAAAACCATATTCAACAATTTAAATAACGAAGTAAAGATTCTAATAAAAAGTTTATGTGAAAGTCAATTCAATATTACCAATGATGCAATTAATAAAATGCAATTGTAATGTAATTGTTAGCGAGCGGTTTTTTTTCAGTTTTATTTTGGGCCGATCAAAAATGTTGCCCCGACCTCTCAAAAGCTGAAATGACGCCATAGGACCTAATGTGTATATTATTATTATACCATTGATTTTAAATACTATTAATAATTATTAACTATAGTCTATAATATATAATATAACATATTACATACGAGTTACGAGTATACGACATTCCTACACACATACTTATTACTTACTATAAAAAAAAAAATAAAAGGGACGATTAAAGATAGTATGGCTGCCCAACGAATCTAAAAAAAGTGTACCGAAAATCGAAATGAATCTCCATAATCAATATTAAACAGCTGTAGCCGAGCTAAATAGATAGTAAATACTAATAAATAATAATATAACAACTAGGTGTATTTGTGTATACATAACTACATAAGTATGTTGCACATTAGCACTCAATTTAGCAGTTAGGACGTTTATTTATAATTTATTATAATTTATAATGTTCACAGTTTTATTAGAGTTCAACAAGTTGCTGTCCAGCAGCTGGTATCACCTTGTATTTTATATACGGTGTTAGATTATTTTTATTATTATATTATTAAATGTCTGTTTTATCACCGCGGTGCTTTGTTCGTTTCGACAGTGCGGCCACCGTCACGACGATCATCATCTCCCGATTTTGAGTCTTGAACCTTTGTATTTATTTAGAAAACCGTACTTGGTTAGGTTAGATCAAAGGTATTCTAATCTATGGGTTAGGTAGCATTGACGTATTAAATATTAATAAATAATAATATTAAGTTTATTTTGTTTAATTCACGATGTAGAATATCTTCTCTACATTGTGGTTTAATTTAATATATTTTATTAAAAGTCTGAATAATGTCTATGTTAGATAATCTGATAGTATCCGCCTCCCACCAATCAACGCTTGATTCTCGTAATAATAATATAATCGGGAGTATTATGTGTGTGTGAGGTGGGGCCTGTATTATTTGTTCCACAAAATAATTGTTCCAATTACTATTTGTTCCACAAACTACTTGTTCCAAATGTGGAGCAAATAGTTTTTGGAACAAATAGTAATTGGAACAAATATTTCGTGGAACAAATAATTATTGGAACAAATATGTTGCAGATTAAATAGTAATTGGAATAAATTATTTGTGGATCTTAATAATATTTTTTTTGGAATAAAAATTATTTTTTTTTAAGTACTATTTGTTCCACAAAACAATTTTCCACAAAACAATTTTCTTAACCCTGTGACCCACTTGGGGAGGTGTTGCACAGCAAGTCGGGGGATATTTTCGATTTGCGGAGCGGTTAGGAACACTTGGAACAAACGTTTTTTGGAACAAATATTCATGGGACAAAGTGTATTGGTACAAATGGTTTATGGAAAAAAAGTCCATAGGAACAAATGTTTTGCGGAACAAAAGTCCTTCGGAACAAATATTTTGTGGAACAAAAGGTAAGATTTGGACCTTAATTAATTTGGAACAAATATATCGTGGAACAAAGGTTTTATGGAACAAAAGGTAGTGATCCTGTGAGGTGTACCCTGTTGTCCGCACGGACCACGGACTAAGATATATATATCTTAGTCCGTGGTTGTCCGTGATTGTGTTTTCGTGTGTGCGTGTGTGCAGCTGGTGTGCGTGACTGGGTGGTGGGGGGGGGGTGGTGGGTGTGATTGTACTTGATGCTGCAGCAGTGTGCCTTGTGCGTGCGCGTTAGTAAACTTTATAATAATAATAATAATAATAATAATAATAAAATGCAAAAATGTGCAATTGACAAGATTAACAGCATTAATCATTATGCAGTATTGCAACAAGCACTGAGCGGCGCCGTTCGTCAGAGACTCTCAGTAGTCGAGCGAATACTATAATATTCATATATATTATTTGAGTCGAGTTAGTGACCAGTGACCATTAGGTGTTTTAGTTCGCGTTTGTTCGCTCGTTTGTGGTGTTTGTTTTGTTTTGTAAATATTCGTAATTGTAATATAATAAATAATATTATGAATACTTATATATTTAAGTACGACAGCAGTTGTAGTGCCGAAAATCGATAAAAATTATCCAGTTGTCAGAGAACGACTATATGGTCTGAACCACTGGTGGCCATCTACGCGATTGATCTTGTGTGATTTGTAAATTCTACCTGTCGCACTTTATTTTCTGAGCCTCCTCCTCTCAATAATAGCAAGTTTAAAAAATATCATGTCGTCGTTGACATACTGGTTGCTGGTCATGTTGTGCTTGAGCCAAGCCACAGCGTACATCGAAAGTAAGTAATTACTGAATTAGAACCCCCCCCCAATTTATATATTTATAAGGATCCAGGGGGCAATCTGCAGAGGTCACTATAATCTGTATTATGTCACTGCCTTAAGCATGATTAACTATTGTCTTTTGCTCCTCAAGCGTTCATTTTGATCTTTGTATGGCCAAGTTGATTAATCGTTGCTCATATCTTTGTATATTTAGTATGAATATGTACCTAATATAATTGAAACTAAAACATTACTTAAAGGTATATATTGATATCACTACAAAAATACATTTTTAAATCTTTATATTTTTATTATTTAGGTACTACATAAAATGCTTCATATTTCTGATGACTCTGCCAAGGAATTATAGTGTTATGGTCTTATGGCTGATAAGCATTAGAATTAGGCATTATTTCCTCATTTACAATAACAGATTAATCGTAGAATGGGGTTTGAACAGAAATTAGGTTTTACCATTATGTTAATAATAAACCATAATTTTTTTTAGTAATAGTCTATTCTATATGTTTTTTTTATCTTTCCTTTATGTATTAAATAACAATATTTTTATTTTAATAAATCCAAAATAATTCTATGGACAATGTTGAAAACAACTATTGAATATCAGTGAATTTTAATATTACAAACAGATAGTTTTTAATGTAATTTTGGGTAAAAACCCATACCCAATAATTTACCTCGTAATTTACTGGAATTTATAAATAATCTAGGTAAATGGTGCACACATTTTTAAATTTTTTTTTTTTTTGCTCTTATCTCCCTTGAAAATGTATTGTTTTGATCAAATATTTATCATTTTATTTATTTATTCAGCAAAATAAATTACAATAAATTAGAGTAATAATAGCTTATACGAATACCAACTGAGCTATAAGCTCGTATCTGGTAAGATAATGGAGTTCATCGATATTACAATATTTGTATTTATAGTAAAATACTTCTACAAATACAAAACGATTTAATAAATCAAACAGATAGGTACTAGGTAAATATAAGATATTATGTTTACAGCATACAGCCCATTGACTTTTTATAATTTTATTTATATTCACATTATCATCAAGATCACTGATTATTTTATTAATTGCATCATTGGTAATATTGAATTGACTTTCACATAAACTTTTTATTAGACTCTTTACTTCGTTATTTAAATTGTTGAATATGGTTTTCCCTAATCCCCATGTAATTGAGAGAGTTTCTTAAACTTGTTAATAATTTATGTATATGACAGTTTAATGTATTTTCCAGGGACGGACTGGGGCAACTATTCGGCCCGGGAAATTTATATTTTGACCGGCCCTTAAAATGTCGTCATCACTAAATGTAAGACTTAAATATGGTACCAAAGTTTTGACAAATAATGGTTGCATCCTCCACCTACTCATTTTTAATTTCCTCAGGAGACAACTTAAGATTCTCAATGTACCTATTTAGTATTTTATCTTAATTAAATGTACTGCACAGTATTATGTATATATCACTTTTTCTATTACCTACTCTATAAGTGATCCATAACGGATGAAAAAAATAGGTTCGTTTAAACTACTTTAACTTGATTTTTCTAAGAGTATCCTTCTCTCTATCTCTGATTTTCTCAACCCCACTCTTTCTTTTAGTTTCCATTTTAAGCAACAAATAGATAAGTAAATATTACAAAATCATCAAACGATACACTAGTACACTACAATAAAATAAAAAAGAAGTTCAAGAATTCACTTTTTTGAATTAAGGACGTTACATTGAACGTACGAAACTGTACCTTTAGTTATCAGCTTATTAATTCCCATCAAATTATCACAAATTATCTTTTATATTTTACTATTATGTAGGTACAATATATTTATATTATATTTTTTATTGTGTACAATTTAATGTTAGTTATATTAAGTAAATACTGGCTGGCTAGAAGTGGATATATTAATCGACTGTAGAATAAAGTCATATTAAGTTATAAATAGGGCATGGTCACAGTGGCGTATCCAGGATTTTTTTAGGGGGGGGGGCACACACTGTCTAAAATTTTACCATATAAAATACTAACTAAAATACCACCAAAAACAAAAAAAATAAAATGTAACAATTGCATTTAACGGAAGATCATTTTCGTATATTTTTGCAGCCTCTAAAATAGTTTTAGTATCATATTTATTGAAATGTGATGGGATTAACCCTTCAAATGGAATAATTTCTCTTAACCTTTGATCAAATCGAGTCCTTAATTCACATATAATTTGGTCTAGAAATGGAATGAATATAGTTATTTTGTAATAATCTTCCGGATTTCGGGATTTGTAACGTTCACATTAGCTCTTTGATTTTGTTTGCCACAAACTCGAGGTATTTTAATATCGACGTCTATTTTAGAACCAATCTTAAGTACTTCACTAAATATATTTTTGAAATGACTATCAACATTTTTACGAATAGATTCTAAAGATGCTCGTACAGTTACAACTTCATTTAGTGCTTTTGATAAGTCTTGTTGTTTACTTTGAAGAATTTGACTTAAATTTAATGTATAAGAAACGGAGACCGTTAAACTGTCCGTGTCACCAAAACAGCTGTGTAACTATCACATGGCGCCCTTTGGAACTAGAAAGTGAAAGTGAAACGTGATAACGGTAATAGTGATTACTGAATACTGGTATATAAGGCATAAGATAAGCGTATTATTGAGTATGCGTTCATGCGTTCATGTATATGAATACATTTAAATCTTTAAAACAAAATCTAGTAAATACGGCCAACGAGGGGGGGCATGGCTCCTGGCCCCCCCCCCCCCCCCCCCCCCCCCCCCCCCCCCCCCCCCCCCCCCCCCCCCCCCCCCCCCCCCCCCCCCCCCCCCCCCCCCCCCCCCCCCCCCCCCCCCCCCCCCCCCCCCCCCCTGGATACGCCACTGGCGCATGGATATAAATGCAATAAAAAAAACAATGCCTTAAAAATACGATTTTATGCACAGTAACAATATTACAAAGCTTAGTAAAATGCCCAGAAAAATGAAAAGCCAATTTAAATGAAAATAAAATAGAACTTAAATAGGTATAGTCATTAGTCGTTAGTCGTCATATATTGTGTTTCATTATAATCACTTTTCAATCAGAAGCTAATCAATATTTTTGAATAAAAAACTTTGACTCTTAGAATTGGCAAGTGTTGTTTTGTATAACTGAAGTCATAGGAGCAAACAAAATAAAATAAAACGTAATAAAATAGAAATATTAGTAAGAAAAAATGATTTTTAATTATATTAAATTTCTTGAAGGAACTTAAGCTAATAGTGTTTATAAAATTGTATATATACTTATAAAATTTACGAAAAGTTCCTTCAAACGATAAAAATGTCATAAAAACGTCAAAAAAATGTTCTATAAATCAGTAAAGTTAAAAAAATGCTAAATAAAAATTTAATTTTTAAATTATTTTATGTATGAAAGCAACTGATTTTAAAGCAATGTTTAAGAGAATCCAGAAAAAAATGCAATTTATCTTCAAATTCACACCCTAGTAGTTATAAATAATAATTTCTGTTTATGCATTGATGCCGAGGGGCTGGTCAACCAGCTGAACCGAAATCTAAAATCTTTAACACCAAATATATAAAAACATTTTCACACTCAATAGTTATGATATGAAAATACAAAATATTTATAATTTATATTTATACCTACTGATTTTGTTATAAATAAATAATAATAGGTAACTAATTATTTTTGAGTAGCGGCCCACCGGGAAAGTTCCCGGTATCCCGCCGGCCCAGTCCGCCCCTGGTATTTTCCTGTTCTATTATTTCTGTAACATTGAGTGAGTGGTTTTGTATGAATTTAACTAAAATTTGTCTAATTAATCAACATATAATATATTTGTATAGTTGAATAATTCTTCTGATGGGTATTTTAACCGTAGGGAGTACTCTACTTTTATAATAATTTTTTGGACATGTTATGCCCTATAATAGAATTGAATTACACAGTGCCATGTAGATTTGTCATTTGTTATTGAAATAATTAAGTATGATGAACAAAATTATTTTCATTCGTAACCGTTTTAAATATTCACACATCTGACATACGCTAATTTTGTATTTGTCTGTTGATGAATCTATACAAAAATAAAACTTGTTAATAGCTTATTGACCTTTTAGAAGTTTGTCTTCCATCTCATCTCACCTTAATTAACTCTATGTGACTATGTCACAATGTTACGTATTTTATATTTCATATTTTCTTCCATTATGTAATACAATATACCTCACAATGGAGCTAATTGTTTTTCTTGTTGTTTTCTTACAAATATTTTTGTATCTTAGTAGTTATTTTTAAATTTTTGGAGACTATGAACAATGTGTTTTTTGTAAATTATTATTTATTTCTCCCTTAACTATTTTTTCAATATATTAGCTGTCCTAACTTGGTAACCCGTCTATTATTCAAAGTTTCCTTGGCTCACACTCGATCAACAAACCTATTTTATTTAAAATCTCAAACTACTAATTATGCTAATAACACACCACTGTTAAGAATTATGAGATTTGTAAATAACTATAACATTGATCTGTTTGTAACAAATAAACTCAATAACTACAAAAACTTAAACCAATTTCAAAAATTCTTTCACCATTAGAATGCTTAATTATCCCTGAGTATCATAGGCTAAATTTATTACTAGAAAAAAATTAGGGACCCCTAATAAAACTACAATAATGGCCCATTTTTGTGTGTATCAATCATCCCCTTTTTTTGTATGTACGAGCATATCTTGAAAAGTACTCAACAGATTTTAGTAAGGTTTTCACTAATAGATCGATTGAGTCTTGGGTAAGGTTTTAACGGTTTTAATTGTATAATTTGTTTTGGAAAAATTACTAACAATAATATATATATATATATATATATATAAATGAATGTTTTTCTGTATGTCCTTTATGCATCCTAAACGGGACCTTTATGCACCGATTTTGATGAAATTATTTGTCCGTGTTTGAGTTGTTCCCTGGAGGATGACTGAGATTCACAATTGGACCAGAAAATTGAGATTTACAATGAGAATTTTTTATTTTTTGTTTCCATTGTGAACCTCAAGGTCCCTGTTTTAGCACCTCTTTAAAATGTGAATTTCAAGAAATCCTCTCTTATTGCAAGGTGAAAGTATTAGAGAAACCACTATTCCAAATTTCAAGTTAATTGAGTAGTTTTTGAGATACAGCTATCAGTGAGTCAGTGGTATTTGGATTTTATATAATATGTAGATTGGTTGCCATTGGTTTATCAGGTAGATCAAGCTTGCATACAATCAAATTTTCGCTCAATGCCTAGTTCATAGCTGTTGCATATTGTCCGCGAGATGAAGTAGTTGGATTGCCAACCAGGATGGCTGAGTTGTACTTACTGCAGCAAGTTACACCCAAAAATAGTTGAACAATAACAATTTTTTTAACAGTTGACATTATTTACGTGTGTGGGACAGCTATATTATAATAAAGTGGAAGAATAATGAATATATATGGCATATAAATGTTTTACAAATATATTTATTGAAAATACAATTGTTTGGCCTGGATAACATTGGGCAGGACAGCTAGAATGCAATAAAACTACGAAGTTAAATAGTAGAACTAGTTAATACAATTTCAATAATTTAATTTTAAAATTTTCTATAAATACCTAAATAAATGTTCATACGAAACATAAATTAAAAACAATTATTTTGTAACTTGTCGTGAAAGGAAATGCTGTGAGACAGAGTACTTACTGTATAATATATATGTTTTGGAAATTGGATAAATTACTCTTTATAAAATGGCCCTAATTAAGACTTTGAAGACAATAATTAATGCATTTGTTTAAGAACTTAAAATAATAAAATTGTTTTTTCCTTTTGTTTGTAGAAATCATGGAAAACGATAGTGTTTGTTCGATGAGTTTCTTTTCAAATAATTTAGACCTATCTGGTCGTGAAGATCAATCAGCTATGGTGATCAAAGATAACCAATATTTTCAGAAGTGGACTGGCAAGCATGAATTTAATTGTAAATTTACAGTAACTTCCTCACTTGGGTTGGGTGTTTTTGCTGTCATACAGCATATGTCTTTTAGGCGTAATGCTCAAGGACAATGTATTGATTATATTCAAGTACGTATATTCTTTCATTATTTATTTTTATGTTTAATCATTATTTAATTATTTTGATAGTTTCGCCATGCTGAAAAAACCTTGAGTGTTCTAGACTTAAATATTAAAATTAAGTCATCAGAGAGCTGGGGTGAGAAAATTTGTGGAAAATTAAATGCATTTGAAGCCAATGTTGGTAATGAATATAATCAAGGCAGTGATGGAAATGATGATAAAGAAATAAAAAATTCATTCGTTGATCATAGAGGTATGATTGAAGTTAAAATATATCTTGGAAATAAATCTATAGAGTCCACTGATGAACTAAAGTTTGAGATTGTATTCACAGCATTCCAAGGTATGTTATTTTTAGGTTAATAGATATTGTACTAAATCAAGACTAAATATATTTTGCTATTTAAAAACTCCCTGTATACTTAATTTATTGAAACATAATAATAAATTGACTTCTTTTTTTCCGTAGAATGCAAATATGACAATGGTCATTGGAAAAGTTGTGGTAGAAAAACATGTATTTTTAAAGATTTTTTCAATGATGGAAAAGTTAACTGCCCATACAAAAGCTGTAAAGATGAAAGTGGTTGTCGCCCAGTAGTCTCAGTACTCAATAGTAACTATATAAGCAGCACAACTGTAACCAGTAAAATCGTGGCTGGAGCAGTTGCCTGCTTGGTTACCATGATTTTAGTGTTTATTGCGTTCCTATGGATATTCAGGCATTGTGGACCTGCATTTTGTTGTATAAGCAACTCTAATAGCCATCCACATTCTTCTGAAATGCAACCAGTGCCACGCTTGGACACAATGGCTATTATAGCTACAGCTCCACCCGATTCTATGGTGGCTAGCGGTACTGAAGTAAGAACAGCTGATAAAGATCTACCCCCTTCATATGACTCATTGTTTCCAAGTAAATAGTAACCACAATCAATATTATAAAGATCTGTATAATTTCTTCATCTATCTCATGTAGTTTATAAGGTGGATTTTATACGTTTATTTAAGATTTCTATCTGAACAAATTTATTATTATTATTTTTTTTTTTGGAGAGAAATATTTAAGACATTTTAAGTTAAGTACACCAATTATGTTCGATTGTACCAGTGATTTTTTTAATTTTCAAAACAAAATTGTTTTATTTTTAATTGGTTGGACTACCTATATAACTGATTAAAAAATAAAAAACAGTTAGAAAGTACTAATATTTTGACCTAATTAGATTATTTTTACTTTTTACTTTTTTTAGTTTAAAGAGTTTACACAGTGTCTTGCTATTTTTTCAAAGTGCTAACAATTATATCACTGGCCTACCATGTATTTATCTACTCTTAAATTGATCAATTAATATTAAAAACAATCATCTTTATACTAGTATCTTTTGTTACACAAATTAATTATAATATATATAATATATTTATTTTTTTTTTAATGGTTTGTATTAAATATAATAATTATTTACCAACTCAAGTATCAATAGTACAAGTATACAATTAGTATACTCGTTTTAACCAAAAGAAAACTAAACATTGTTGACACACAAGACTGAATAACTCAAAAATTTCAAATTGTTTATTACCTACCTATCATTTAATTACTTATGCAATTTAAACCGAATTAAAAAAAAAAAAAATGATTTCTTCTTTTTAATAATACATTTAATTTGTTTATTCAGATTTGTGTAATGTACAAATGTATACTCTATAGGTATATTCATTTTATCGACCAAATCAGTATTTAAAATAATTTTAGCTTCTAAACTTTAAGCGCAACACAGTATATTTTTGAATATCTTGTTTAACTTGTTTAATTGACTGAGCATCTAGAAGACACCATTATTTTGATTATAATTTGTTGCTCTTGCATCAGACTATCAGACTATCAGAGTCCAACTTTTATAATTACCTTAATATTTGTTGTTCATGGTTCAATAATACCTTTTTTCATTGATATTCAATCTTTTTGTATTTGTCCCTTGATTGTGGACCACCACAATTCTAAATAATGTTTCTATTTTAAAATTACTTTATCTTTACCTTATTAAAACATTATTTTAATTGAATGTTATGAGATCCTGTGTATTATTGTAATGTATACTATAGTGTAAATATATGTGCTTTACATTTTAGTCAACATTAATAGTAAGTGCAATACCACATTACTCTACTATAAATGTTCACTAATATTTTGAACCAAAAGTCCAAATGTGTATTATGTCTAGTATTGTGAAGCATATATTTTATTATATATTATTTTTACACAATAAGATATTAGGTAGAACTCAATTACTCTGACTAAGTATTCTTAAAGAACAACATTTTTTTATTTGTATAATTTTATTATTATTGGCTAACTTTAAGTAAAATCAAGTTTGATATTATTGTATTCTTTATGTTTATTTTTATATTGACTTGAGTACCAAAGACAAAATATGTTGCTTGTACCTTAATAATGTTAGATACTTTGGTATTTATAAAAATAATTACATTTTTGTGTATATACATCTATAAACTATATGTCAATATACATTTTAATATATTCATGCTTGTAAGACTTGTGTATACAATTAATATTACTAATAAATTTATATTTGAAGTATTATTTACTACACTTCAATACTGTAAATCGATACTGTGATAAAAAAAAATATTATATTTATATCTAATATATAAAATTTGTTATTGAACATTAACACAAGTGTTTTTTTTTTTTTTTACCGGTATACAATTTATTGATCGCAAACCACAAAAAAATTGAATACAAGCAAGCTCATCTAAATGTATGGAATAACACCACATAAAGTAAAACAAAAAAATCACCTGTACTCTATAGGAGTTACAAATGATATATATTCTGTTCAGCGAAAGACCGTACTGACAAAAACTGGTCCCCTCCACAACACCCTGCCATTAGGAAACCGGTTTCTTCGACAGCATGGTAATGCAGAATCGACGTGCTCTCTCACTGAACAGAGTATAGATTGTCAATATATTATATACCCGTTACCTATTAGCAGGGTTGGGAAAGTTACTCAATTTATTGTAACTTGTCACAAGTTATATGTAATTATGATATGCCCAACCCTGCCTATTAGCTATTCAGTAGTTAGCATTTAGTAGAGTCTAATGTCCATTTACTATGAATTAATGTTGCCTTTTTTCAATTTGGTAGACTGAGAATGGGATGCTAGAGTAGGGATTGTAAGACAGATGATCCTTAGTCTTTACCAGACTTGTTTTAAAAGTTTCTGACAATAGTATAATATAGTTATTTGGAGAATCTGAAATATATTTTATGTGGTCATTGTAGAATATTAATTCTGATTGTTGATTGTTGGCTTAAGCGCCACAGGATTTGCTAATCCAAAAATCAAGGTGATTTGATCCCAAATTTTTAAATAAATTGTATATATTTATGCAGTAAAACTTACATTTAACAAAATTTTCTATTTAGCGAAATATTTATTGCAAGCCATATCCCAAATGTAAATAAATACAGTAAAACTTCAATATTTCAAAGTCTCGTAGTAACAAATTCATTCTTAATATTTGCAATAATAATTCTCTTATTTTAGATTCTGAGTGAAACGATGAATGTATTGATTTTACAATGATGTGTGTTTTTTTATTTTTTTATTTTTTTATTTTTTTTGTATCTGTGTACACGATAAGTAGTCGAAATAATGCTTCGATTTTCGACTTCAGTATCTTGTTCGATTGGAAAGTGAATATCGTTGGTGCATTGGGGAGGTCAAAATTTAAATTTCCCAGTAGTTTTCAAGAGCGCCGGGAAAAACAACATAAAAATTAAGGAAAAACGGGAATTTTTACGCAAAATCGGTTTTCCAAAAAATCGATTCTGGTTTTTGGTGTAACTTTAAAACAAATGACCGTAGATACATGAAATTTTCACTGGTTGTTTATATTTGCATCTTCTATACACGATAACATTTTCAAAATATTTTGATTTATTTTGAACAGTTTAGGGACATTTTCATTTTTCGTTTTTTTTTCGTTTTTTTTCTAGAAATATCAATAAAATTTTATTTGTTGGTTGCGAAAGCTTGAAAATTTAATAGAAGGCTCCTAATATATTGTTTCAAAGGCAGATGAAAAATATTAAAAATCCTTAGTCACAATTTTTTTTATAAGCATTCAAAGTTCAAAAATTGACAAAATATGGAAAAATCACGAAAATTAGCAAATTATTTTGAGTTAAGAATACGTAAAAATTTTTCTTTTTAAATCTAAGATTTGAAAATCTAATACAAGATTACTCATAAGATTGTCTACCTTTATCAATAAAAAATCTCTACCGGAAAGTCAAATTAAATTTTTATGAGGGTTTGAAATTCAAATTTTTACAACATTGGATATTCACTCGATTTCTCATGTGGCAATTTCCTTTTTTTGTTGTAATTAAAAAACGAATTACTGTAGATACATGGAAATTTCACTGAATGTTTATATTAGCAGTTCCTATACACCATACAATTTTGAAAATATTTTGACTCTTTTTGAGCCGTTTACGGACATTTTCAGTTTTCAATTTTTTAGTTTTTTTTTTCTATAAATATCAATTAAGTTTTATCTGTTGGGCCAAAAGTGTAAAAATTTAATACAAGGCTCCTGATATATTTTTACAATATCAGTTGAAAAATATTAAAAATACATAGGCACAATTTTTTTTATAAGCATTTTAACATCGAATTTTGACAGAATTTTTAAAAATCTCGAAAATTATTAATCATCGTAATTAATAAATTATAAAATGTTCAGTTTTTATAGCTAAGGATTGAAATTTTAAAACAAGATTCCACGTAAGTAGTTAATTCTCTTACCGAAAATCTAAAAAAATATACAATCACAGTTTCTTTTTATAGTCATTTTATGTTCAAATTTGGACGAAATTACATATTAAAAAACCTAGTTATTTTGTTGTGATTATATAATATTATTCGTGGGTACCTACTTGAAACTTCTAAAGTGTACTATTATATATCTATGATAGTATCAGGGTTTGTTATTGATGTTGATGTATAACGTGTTATAAGTACCTAATGGATATTGTGATAATGTGATATGATTAATTTGGAATTTTTTATAAGTCAATTTTTTTTTAATACCATAGATATGTATATAATTTGTCTTAAACCTAGACTGACATACCGTCTTCGCTCAGAATCGTTTTTCTTATACAATGATATTATATCATTGAATTCAAATTTAAAAGCATCATTATACAGTGACCCACTTGTAACCTACTGTACAGCAGAGCGACATCCACTTACCCACCTTTTTCTTATTGTACTATAAAGGAATTTATTCATTAGAAATCAGAATAACTTAATACATTTAGCTATGGTTCTAAAAAATATAATATTTGGTTAAACAGAATTAGAATAGTTTGTTATACGGAAGTAATTTTCACTGGAAATGTAATTTTATTTGATGAATTTCTATAAGTATACCTAGTAAGGATTTTCGAATGTAATAAATAGGTTAGGTTGGGTACATTTGATTTTGGAGCTCTATACTGCATTATTAGAAGGGACTGGATTGTGATAACTTTTGCCGAGTTTTGCATAATATTTTGAAACATCATAGACTATTATTTCGAAGTTTAAAATATATTTCAATAATATTTTTGTCTAAACTAATTTTTATTACCTTTTCGATTGTCAACTTTCGATCGAAATAATCGATTCAATTGTTATTTTTCGATTTACGCTATTCTCAAAAGCCGATCGAAAATTCAAATATCGAATATGTGATTTTCGTTCTAGTTTTTAGGCTATTGAAATGTTATAACTTATAAGTTATAACTTATTTTCTTATTATTTCAAGAGAAAAAGGTTGCGGTGTATGCGGTAGCTGATCACAATAAATTGTTCATTAATTACGACCGACGTCCGTGTGCA